CCCCCCCCTTAAAATTCCACAACCTCGCATGATACGCAAATCTGGAAATAAGCTCTACTAGACCCCGCCAACAGCCCCCAAAAGGAATTGAGCTGTTCTCATCACTTGAAACCTCAAATGTATAATTTGACTGGACTATAATCGGTTCATACCGTAACGCTCGTAAGAGGACGATTGAACGAAAAGAGCGTTACGCACCGTCTATATACTGTCGACGAGTATATACTAAATACATATTGTGTATATACTACGTACATATACTACATATATTATATACTAAGGGAGAGAAAAAAAATACGAGGTAAATACGTTTACGTAATTTTTATTTTAAAAAATTTCTTCGCAACCATCATTTATATATTTTGAATACATTTTGCAAGGCGCAATTTGTAGCGTGATGTCCGCATCGCGTAGTATCAACGGCATCCATATCGGTTAAAGATAGGGTGCGTAAACCGCATCCAGGGTCTCGATGTGCACGCGTTCGTCGTCGTCCAGAAGCAAGTCTCGCAGCCACGTTCGTTTCTCATGTCCCTTGACGTACACGACTGCATCCTCCTCCTCGCATACAGCATTGGCAATCAGGCGTTTCGCCTCGCTGTACGGGGTCGTCCCGTCCGTCCATCGTAATCCATGGTGGTTGATAGCCAATCAACCAGGAAGCGCAAGACTTGTCGGATCTTGTCAAAAATTTCCATGGTACGGGATTCGTAAAAATGTAGTGCGTGAGTACGGTCTCGTGTTTCAGTACCGCCACTTCCTTCACGACGAATCGCCCGTTGACGACGAAACCTTGCAGATCCACGAACGTCGGCGTGTGCATGTCGGATGAAGACTGCAGACGATGTTCGTAGATTTTTATATCTACGCGCTTAGGTGATTTTGCGCACAACGTTGATCAGCGGGTTATATTCGATCACGCGATCGTGTATGATGAGGCAGTACGCGGTAGTATTCGCGGGCGCGTTTTCTTTGAATTCAAATTCTAAACGCACATCCACGGTGCCACTCTTGACCGATTCGTTCTGTCGAGAGCAGTCAATGATTACTAGAGGAAAACGTTCCTTAAAATAAACTGACCTGAGTAACGTTTCACCTCTTTCGCGGGGGATTTGATAGTAAGATGTACGGAAACGTACGAACATTTCGTACAAAATGGCGGTTTTGTGTTTGTCCCAATTTAGATTTAGATCATCATATGGAAAAAATTCAGAATTTAGATAGAGTTTCACGTTGGTTAATTTACAATTGTCGAGGTAATTTTTATGTGTTTCCATGTTATTTTTTTTATTAGTCTGCAGAACAAAGATGATGTATCGCGATTTTTCGAGCTGAGTCGCAATCTTGATAGCCCACGAGTGCTTCGTCATGCTCGGTAATAGAGGATACTCGTACAGATCCCACGAACGGAAACTCATACTCACTTGTCAGATATCGTCCGTTCTCCAAGATACGCAACATAGACAGTTTATTGACTTCGTTCAACGTAACGCCATTGTATCTTGTTCAATCTAATTGCATCTAATTGAAGTTTCGGCTCAGTCGCTGCATCTCCCACAACGCAATTGTTGTCGTTGCGCGCTCGTATCAAAATCAATTCGTGACGCGCGTTGATCACCACGCATTTGTAATCTTCGCAAAGGCCAAACAACATGTTCAACGGTACGTAAAAACTAAAATATCCATCACGTGATACTAGTCTTTTTACATCATTATCAAACACCGGATGTGGAAATCCGGCATTCTCCATATGATGTGTGAAGTCATCTGAAAACGTTGAATAGCCCTTCAAAAGACTAGTTATTCCAACGTTTCTGTTACGATCAATCTCAGTACCATTGAGTTCGTATCGAATTTCCTCAAACATGAACGCCACGCAATTAATTCCAAGCTGTGGAATAATTGTATTGTGCTTTACATGTTGTCTCTCTGATAACGTTTCTCAATTATCATTGAATTCCAGTGATTCGCCTTGCTCATCATTTGTTGTACTCTAATCATTTGAAAAGAATCACGATGAATTAAAAAATTAAACATGATAGATGTGCAATATTTCAATACTGCTTTCATGATAATTTTTCATAAATTCTATTTCAATAGTGTTATGCTAACATGCTATTTTAAAATTTCGATTCAATTCTTCTTACGACAGATCCAAATTTAGCACTTCAAAGTACGTAAAAAAGTTGTTTCCTTTTTGCATTAAAAATTACTCAATATTTGCAAACTATACAGTGTTATTAGTTTGCATTGTGTAATATACTATTTATATTATTATACATATATTAAAATTCTATTTCATTCACAACATTTTTTTTTTAATTTATATAATATAACCTATATTTTTATTATTATTAATCTTTGTATATTTTACATTTTACCTTTTATTTATTTAAAATGAGAGATTAAATAATCATGTTTTTATATTTTTTCTTTTATTTTCATCTTCAAATTTTTCAATATTTATCATTACATTTTAATATTCATTTACATATATGTTTTATATAAACATTAAATTAAGAATTTTTAGATTAATATTCATTGTTTACACAGTAATAACGTATAATACACAGTACACATTACAAATTTAGTACAATCTAAACTAATTCTACGTGTTAAACTTAAAATATAAGTATCTTATAATAGATACAACTTAAAGTCATTTGAATTTGCTGCACTTTTGGTCGATGGGGCGGGGCTTAACATCGGAGATGTTGACAGATGTTGTTCTCTTTCTATTGCATGGGTTAGCTACCAATTTGAAGTTGCTGCTAGCAGTTCATTTTATATAGTCAAAGGTACGCGCCCGCCGTCACGTTGCACTCTACGCGGATGATGTTCACGGTCATTATGTTGACCGACACGTCCGACTGGTGCCATTTTCGCGGTTCTAATACACGATTTGAAAATCCCAGCAGCGACCCGATGCTGTTGGGTTTATAAAAGTTTATTCTGAAGGCGCATACGATCTCGCATCTCATCGTGTTGTAGTTTGCGCGGAACGCTATCGGGTACTCTGCATCCACGTCGTCGTCGTAGTCATCGCGAGTTGCGTCCCTACGCACCGCGTCCCCACGCACCGCGCCATCGAGCGAGTCGGGCAGCGGACGTTTCCGCGAGATCGCGCGTTTCAGAAATTCGTTTATGGCTCGCAGTTCGTACGAACCCTTAGGGATCGTAATTTCCGTATCGTCGTTTCCAAAGTAAAATTTGTCGTTCGAATCGTTCACGTTCGGTATCGTGTGATAGGTCTCGAAGATCGTCAGACCGAGCTCGTAGTCGTCGTCGCTCAAGTCTATCGCGAGAAAGTAGTTCGCCGCGAGGACGCTGCTCTTCCCGCTCAGCGTGAGTGTCAGCGACATTATGGTTCGACGAGTACTGAGATTGCGCGACATCTCGTTGGGCTTTTTAAAATTCGACGGTTTGTAGAAACCGCAGACACATCTGTCCGCAAAAGTTCTGATCGTACGTCTGATATGTCGTTCGATTGTACTCTATTGCGGTCGTAACGCCGAAATATCGCACGAGTTCCTCGAGCGGTCGGAGATTGCCGAAACTGTCAAAGCACACGACGCGGTTGTTCCTCTTCGCGTACGCTATCCAATGAGTACCGGGGCCCGTAGCATCGTCCAGATTCACGATACCGCTTTCGTTTCGGCGCGCACCGCTCGTCGGTAACGCGTGACGCATGAAAACCTCTCTAAAGTACGATATGCGCATACGCCTCGCGAGCTGGTCCAGTTGCACGTTGGTGGTTGGGACCGTGAGCATTTTTATCGTTTCTTCGACGTTTTTTTTTTCCTTTCTGTCCATGTCCGCGTTTGTACAGGGCGAGATCGTTGCTTCAGCCCGCGTACATGTCTGTACAGAGCGAGATACAGTCCGCGGCTCTGTTCCATCGCGCGATCGTGACGTTGCAGCTCCTCGAGCTGACGTCGCGCGGCTTTGCTGTCGTTTACCGCTTTCGCCACGCTGGCCGCTCCGCCGATCAGGGACCCGAGGGCGTCCAATATTGGCAGAATCGGCAACACGCCGCCTCGTTTCGCTGTCGGAAGTATCTGTTTTTTCGTTGCAGGTTTTTTCCCCCTCGACTTCTTCTTCTTCTTCATGCCAATGCCGATCTTGGTCTTGGCTTTCATCGCTGCCCAGATAGCAGCAGCGGTGGCTCTCTCGCCCAGAACCGAATCTCTCGCGGTAACGCGTTTTCGCGCCTCCGCGGCGAGTACCTCGTCCGCCGCGTGCCTATCGGCGAGATCGTTGCTTCGAGAATACGCGATGTCGTGCTCGCGGCACGCCGCGTCCAGTGGATTTACTCCCGCGTCGCCTCTGGCCAATCGTTTCCTCAGTCGAGTGCCAGGGCCGCAAAACTGGTACCCGGGGATATGTAACTCGAAAGGAAGCGCGTTTATCGCCCGATTTAACAGTTTTCTTCGCTCATCGCTGACATTCGCCGCAATTCTTAATCAGAGGCGACGGACCGTCGATGTGCGTCTGCTGACTCGGCAAGTTGTAGTGCTTCAGGTACCGTTGAACCTCCGAATCGGCTCTTATGTGCTCGGGCAGTTTGTCCCACAACAAATCTATGTACTGCTCGCACTCTCGCAGCAGAATAACTTTCGGTACGTATTCCAGCTCGGCAGAGGTCAAGCTGTGCAGACGGTCCGACGCGACGATGAACATTTCGATCACTGAGCGATTTCGCTCCGTGCGTCTCTATAAATAGGCCCGCTCGCGGTGTCGTTTTTCAGTCGCGAGTATGCGTCAGTCGCGCACCATCAAGGTGTCGAATCTCGACGCCAAAGTACAGACGGAGAAGAAAATGCGCAAGCATGGAAACATGCTGCCGAGTACTATACGCGCGATCATCTGCGGCCCGTCGAACTGCGGCAAGACCAACGTGCTTAGTGTGGCCATGGTGTAATAAGTAAGGTGAACCATTGCGCATAATGGCGGAGGTTTGTAATCTTGACCAATCAGAGTTGTACTATTTTGCGGCGCAAACTATCGATATATTTGAAAATTAAAGAGAGGAATAAGAAAGTGTAATAATTTTTAAAGGGGAATCATAGTAATTTTTCATTAAAAAATCGACTTTCTTGTTGTTTAAAATACTCTGATGTAGATATGGAAAATTAATGGCTATGCAAAGAATAACTCATGAGTAATTCGATCTTTCTAAATTAATTTGGCACAAACTTGATAAAAACTCAGAAACTACTTACATTCAAATACATTTGAATTTAGAAAAATCGTTTTGGCTCCCCTTAATCACTTGAGCTTCCCCCCTAATAAAAATACATGTAAGGCGATTTTTGGCGTACTTCTGGTATAGCAACCAAAAGCAATCGCGACTAAGGCTATCTTCGTTTTTAAGGATCAGAAAATAAAAGAGTCTAATTGCAATTGCTTTTGGTTGCTATACCAAAAGCACGCCAAAAATCGCCTATAATAGAATTGTTAATAATAATAAAATATGTCATTTATTTAAAACAAAGAATAATGAGAACAAAACATAAAATATTTATTCAAAACAAAGAGAATAATGAAAACAAAACATTAAATATTTAAATATATTGTTTAAATTTTGTTGCACATGTTTTAATTTTTTCTTCGCCTTTCTTGTAAAATTTTTTTGTTTTATAAAATAATTAATATGCCGCAGGCGTATATATGTACGGCATCTCACTAAACAAGCGATTACAGTCACCGGCAAAGAAACTTTATTGTGTATAATGCTTGTTAACTTGTCAAAAATTAAACATTCTGTACTAAATAATTTGCCGTGAAATTTAAAGAACTCTTCATTCATAACATTGGCCGCTAACTGTAAATTTTTAGATGGATATAAACAGTTGCCTCTAGATATACAAGATAACCAGTCATCTTTAGCAGGAAGATCTGCAGTAGGCACACCTAATTCCGGATATTTGTGCCGAAATCTGTGTGCAATGTATCCAGCAACGTATATAAGTGCTTCTTTTTCGACAGTTTCAACAGCTACCAATTGTTCAAATTCACGAAGTAAGGACAATTCGTCGTTGGAGGGAGTAACATCGACAAGAGGGTTAACTGGAAGAATTACGTGAAAGAAAATAAAATTACAATGTGTACTTCTGAAAATTTTAATTTGTTTTACTCCATTTCCGTTTACTGTCAATATAAAATAATATACATAATTTCTTAAATAACGCCCACTAATGATAGTGATATTCCTAATAAAAAGTTGAATCGAAGTTCCCTACCATTTTGCAATTTTTGCAAATTTTTTTTTAATTATAATATACAATTTTAATTATTATAAATATAATAATATTATAATAATAATAATATATAATATAATACTTTTGGTATAAGTAGTATAAGTAGTATAAGTAGTATAATATATAATATTATACTACTTATACTACTACAATAATACTCAAATACCTTCGTCTTCATTGTCATTTTTGTTTTCGGCAACTTCAGTGATTGTGGAAGATTTAACATCGTTAATTTCCATGATTTCTTTTACTTCATCTGCAAAATTATCGTTATCATCAAGATCCAATAATGTGTTGAAGCATCAAGTGTATCTGTCACATTCATGAGAGTAACTGATGTTAAATCATTTTCTGTGTTATTATTCTTAGACAAAGCATATCCGGAATGCTTTCCAAGAATATACCACTTTAAACGATTCTGTACTTCCACTGGTGACGGATGATTATGAGCAGCTCCCATTGCTCTTATATACGAGAAAAAATTCTCCAGAATGTCCTGATTCAGTCTTCTCGTAATGATGAAACTGATGGTGAATGCTTCGGTCGAATACTTTTCCTTTACATACGATAGTAACTGCCTAAGGGAGTTGTTAGTCAGTAAATATTTTCTTTTGAAACGGAAGTAGTGTCCTTCTATTCGGAGTTCGCAAATTACTTATAAATTTGTCCATTTCTTCCAGAACCTTGTCTTGTTTCGGTAACTCTACTCCATATGCATGCAGGCCATCATGTTTGCCAAATTTCAACTGGGAATTTAATATGTCAAACCAGTCATTAATAAGATTCACAATCGTCGACATTATGTGCCAATTTTTATTTGTTAAAAATCCCTGACTACCGCAGTATTCGATCGCTTTAGCATTTCAATTAGAAAATATTTGAGCAGCTAATTTGACGGATTGTCGCTGATTTCCTTTAACATCTAAATGTAGTCTGGACAGATTGAAGGCTATTTTTAACTCGTTCGAATTCAGCGTAAGTAATTGTTCTAAAATTTCTTTGGTTATTAACTTGCCATCAACAACAAATCCTGAATCTAAGAAGTTATTTCTAAGTAGTTTTATTAAATGAGGAACGTCGGCAAACACATAAACTTTTAAGGTTTCATCACACGGGTGTACAAAGAAGCATCTTTTCTCTTCGATTGGTTCTGTCCTCACAGTATGAGTTTCATTATTCGAAAGATCTACACCTATATTCATAGATTTCCACAAGCGTGAATTTGTAGGTCCAAATCACTTGTGACTGCAACAACAATATAATCTTTTTCATAAAGACGTGCGATCGTTTCCAATAAAATGTCTTTTGTCATGGGTGTATCAAAATCATAAAATATGGGTTGCTTCCATTTATCAAAAAGACTTCGCGCCATTATGAATTGGCAGGTTTTGTGCGACCCATATATTTTTTGTTGACGACGTTCTAAGTCGATTTTATTGGAAATGTATAATTCATCAAAAGATAATACAGTCAGCTTCTCTATGGTACTTAAATCATGCCCCTTATCGTGCATTATGTTCAAAACATCTTTCAATACACCTGGTTGGACATTGAAATTTGCACTCCAATTCTTTAAAGTTTGCACACAAGGCAAAGGAAAGTTGTTTACTGTCCGCAAGTAATTATACGCTTTAGCGCTAACTGAGTGAAGAGCAATCGCAGAGGAAATGTCTTCAGCCGACCAATTAATACGTTTCTTCTTTGAAGACATAAGGTTTTTAATCTGTCCTGGCGTAAAAACTGTACTCAACGTATCATATGCCATTTTTTCAGCTTCATTTTCCATGTTCTTATTAAGTTGGAGGAACTTGTTGTCTTTTTCAATTAACTCTTTTTTTAGATGCTGATTGTCTTCGGTTAGTTGCGCATTAATATTATGTAACTGTGTACATTTGAGACTGAGTTTTTCATTTTCTTCTTGCAATATTTTTAGACGTTTCAGAGTCCTTTCCGTTTCATCATTGAACCGTTTATTCATTTGACCTCTGTAAAACATACATTAAATATAAAAATTAATATAACATAGTACACGAACGTGGGGTATTTAATATTTAGATATATTGCTATATGTAACAAATTATAAATACATACGATTGTATTGTTTCGGCACATTCTAATGACACGTCGAGTCTACTTTCCATTAGCTCTTCTTGCATTTCACTTTGAATTGGCATTGTACTGTTACTGTAATATAATGTTATTGATAAATAACACTATTACGTAAAATAAATCTTACTAATATGAATTACGAGGTATATTTTTAGTCCTTGATGTTGTGTTACATAACATAACTCAGAATTGTTTCAACATAAATTTGTTACTTACCCTCTACTAATTCTTTGTTTCCTTTCTGTTTCGATATTCAGATATTCTGTTGGTACTGCATCTTTCTTCAACCGTCGAATCACTCGTGATTGATTTTTCGAACGTTGTTCTGTCCATTGTTCCTCTATGCAGTTCGCTAGAAAATGTCGTTCATATACTACATCTGAAAATAACGTTTCTTATTAAAGTTCAATATAATCTATATCTCTATGTCTCTATATCTATTATTTTATAATTCAGTTTATAAATTTGCATTATTAGTTACTACATCATTACAACAGTTAGTGACAAAAAAATATGAATCATAAACTCACTGTATGTTTGTTTCAGCTCTTCTTCTTTGCGTTTTCAGGCCTCAAGCCATTTCTTTCTTAAATTAGGTTCTTTAGGAAAATAGTAAACTTTACTACTTCCTTTAGCACGGCCAGTCCGCGTTTTACAATTTCGTATGCAACACACTGGCATATTACGTTCAAATGATCTAAATATAATTTCAAAAATCCAATTGTTTTCATTAAACAACAAGGCATCAAAAGCACTCAGCTGATTCATCGCTGCTCATCGCTCTCTAAGCGGCCATATTGAATTTCTGCAAAATAGTCACAACTTGATTGGTTGATGGTCCCCACTACTTTTAACCCACTGCGCATCCATCGGAATGGTTCACCTTACTTATTACACCATGAGTGTGACCATCCGTACTCTTTTGCCCGGACATGTACTCTTTTTGCGGGCGTCCGGGCGGATTTTCAATGTGTACTCTTTTTTGTACTACTTTTGAGACTGGAGAACGAGCTTGTACTCTTTGCACTCAGCTTCTCTCTTTTCATTGCTCTAGCCGAGCGATTGAATACGATTGGTTGGATCTATAAGTAATAACCAATTACGTTCATGTCGGGAAACACCCATATAGTGTATTGTGAAAGTTACTATAAGGGCATCTAGGAACTAACATGTTCAAGATGCGTTCCGATTTCACTGCCACTGCCAGTGCTGAAAATCTATAGCGTACGTATACAGTATACTGTGTAGTTTCAGCACTGGCAATAGAAATCGGAACGCACTCTTAGTGTTCTATTGTTTACATTTGAAATCTGCAAGACTGCCCAAGATTGCAAATAAGTAAGGTGAATGGGTTTCAAATAGAAACCGGAAACCTAAGAGCTCAAAGAAGAAGAACACTGCAAATGATTTAGGTGAAATAACCATTAATGAACATAACTATATTAGCACAAGAAAACAGTACATTCTTAAAATCTAGAAAAAAAACGAGCACTTTCATATTTTGTTTTTTATACGTTTCTAAATTTATAGGTTAGATAACTCTGTATCATTTGATGAGCTGTTCTGACGATATCTTGGCCAGTTTATACCGATAAGCGAAGGTAAGCAAACGTTCTTTTAAATACATATAAAAGTAAACTGAAAAAAAAAAATATATATATATACATATAAAAGTATATTTATTTAAATATACTTTTTAAAATAAATGCTGAACAGCATTTTTCACTACGTCTGATTATTTCTAAAAAAAAATAATTGCAAAAATAGAAAGGCTGTTTTCTTGTTCTTTTTAAAGATAGTAAAATTGTCTCTATCTATCTTTTCATATTCATTATTATGACTTTTATCACAGAAAGGAGAAAATAATAGTTAATAGTTCTTTTCGAATTAATTACCAATTATGGTTATTAACAAAATAATGTTTGAACTTTATTTCTAGATAAATCACACACACATATCATGCCACGGAGAAAATGTCATTTTTCTATGGAGTTGCAGCAGAAATATCCCTCATTCAAGCCAGGCAAAGATAGCAACTGTATATGCGCGAGGATTAAAATAATTTCACAACTCGTTCTTTCTTCGCGTCGTTCTTTCTCCTGTAGAACAGAACTGCTTTATTTAAAATATGATGATAGCTGCTTTGCTCGCAGCGTCTTACAAAATCGACCGACGTGTTGAGTCGGCCATCTTACAACATACAAAACTGGAACTATAATGAGAGCGCGTATTAACGGCTACAGTAAAATTAGAGTAGGGAGGAGGCCTCGTCAGTGCTGCCAACCAAAAATGCCTCCTAGCGTAAAACACCATTCATATACGGCGACTTATATTATTTCAAACCAAACATGCCGGCCGCCTTGGAAAGCACAGCTTTTCAAAATGTTTAAATAATCCTTTGTGTGGTAAAAAATAACTGAAACAAACATAAGTGATAATATTGCTTATACTATAACATGAATTATTGAAACCTGAATTAAATGTAAACTTGATATTAATGCTCCATGGGAAGCAAGCTCAGTCTGTTCGCTGGCCTTTTGAATATCCCTTTAGTAGTTTTAATCGTAACAGTGCGGACAACACCGTCGTCTCCAGGATGTGTTTCTAGCACTCTGCCGATAGGCCAATGCAATGGCGGTGTGTTGTCCTCTTTCACAAGCACCATGTTTCCAGGGACTACATTAATATCCTCGAGTTTCCACCTAGTGCGTTGTTGAAGTTGATGGAGATACTCCTTGGACTACCTCTTCCACAGATGCTGACGCATCTGATCGACCTTTTGCCATCGAGTAAGTCTATTTTCTTGAATGCCCAACAGAGTTGGCTCAGGAATGTCGGTAAGTGCGCTCCCAATGAGAAAATGCCCAGGCGTCAGGTACGTTAAATCATTAGGATCATTAGAAAGGACCGAGATGGGACGGGAGTTTAAAATAGCCTCTATTTGGATGGAAAAGATTTGCATTTCATCTGTCGTTAATAAAGTCGCACCGACCACCTTTCGGAAATGAGTTTTAAATGATCGGACTGCGGCCTCCCATATGCCGCCAAAGTGGGGGGTTCTAGGCGGTATGAAGTGCCATTGTATACCTTGAATAGCGCAATCTCGTGTTAAGTTGCGTACTTCCTCAATGAACATTTTGTGCAACTCTTTCAGTTTACGATCCGCTCCTATAAAATTCGTAGCATTGTCGGAGTAGATATCACTTGGCTTGCCTCGGCGCCCGATAAAACGCCTTAAAACGTGTATGAAGCCTTCAGCTGAAAGATCGAAAGCCATTTCCACGTGAACAGCCTTGGTTGCTAGACAAACAAAGATAGCAACATATGATTTGTTGGTCCTTGAATTACGCCGTTTGGATTCGCGAACGTGGAACGGTCCACAAAAATCCACTCCCACGTTTGAAAACGGTCGAGATACTTGAACTCGTGCTCTGGGGAGGTTACCCATGATCGGCTGAATAATTGAAGGATTGCTACGAAAGCACTTGATGCATCTTCGAATTATAAGTCGCACTATGTTTCTGCCATTTAAAGGCCAGAATTTTTGACGAATAGACGCTAAAGTTGCCTGTGGCCCTGCGTGTAGTAATCTGGAATGTTCATTTTCTATTAATAATTTTGTAAAGGGATGATTAGCTGGTAATAACATCTGATACTTCGCTGAGTATGGGAGATCAGCTCTTTGAAGTCTGCCACCGACTCGCATAATTCCTTGTTCATCTAGAAAAGGATTGAGAGGTAAAAGCTTACTATTCTTTGACAACGATTGATTATTTAGCAATAATTTGAGTTCAATCGAAAAAGTAGATGCTTGTATCATCTTGACCAATGAATTTATAGCTGAGTTAATTTCAATTGCTGATAATTCTCCTTGATGTTTGATTTCATTTGTATGGCAATTGTGGATAAAACGCAGAATATAACCTTGAACTCGTGTTAACTTATTGAAAGATGAGTATCTGCTGAAAAACTCCAAAGGCTCCTGCTGCGCCGCTACAGCCAATACTGTCCTCTTAGCTTCAGGTAATTCTTGATCATTTGATTAGTTCTCGTTACATTGCTCCGATATATCTTGTGTGGGCCATATGGGCCCATTCCACCACAAATCACAGGCAAGCAGTAGCGATGGCGTCATACCTCTTGAGATTATGTCCGCAGGATTGTGTAATGAATCTACATGAAACCAATTATTTGGATCTGAAAAGTCTTGAATCGCGCTCACGCGATTTGCTACAAACGTGTTCCATCTTCTTGGAGGTGACTTTATCCATGATAATATTATTGTAGAATCTGACCAATAATAGACATGTGTGAATACGATGCTTACAGACTCTAGTATCTTGTGCATTAATTGTGCTAATAATAAAGCTGCACACAATTCAAGGCGTGGTAAAGACAGATTCTTCAACGGAGCGACTCGAGATTTTGCACACAGCAGACTTGCCTTGTATGTCTCTTGTGAAATCTTGCTCCTGACATAGACGCAAGCTCCGTACGCCTTTTCGCTGGCGTCAGCGAAACCACATAACTCTAATTCCGTATGGTCAGAATGCACAACTCTTCGCATGACTTGAAGTTGATTTAACATTGGAAGTTCCGCTTCATAACGTGCCCACTGCGTTTGAATGTCGCTGGGCAAGGATTCGTCCCAATCAACTTTAAGTTCCCACAGTTGCTGTATGAGAATCTTCGCTGTAGTGATAATTGGCCCTAGAATTCCCAACGGGTCAAAAATGCGAGCGGTGTTGGACAAGATCCTTCTTTTAGTAATCTTAGATTTTTCTGGAATTGTGATATCGATCTATAGTATATCACCTTGAGAATCCCATTGTAAGCCCAAGGTACGTAAGCTTGTGCTATCGCTAATGTTTAGAATGAAGTTTGCAGACGTCGCAGAAATGCCATCCAGGACCGCCTGTTCATTGGAGACCCATTTGCTTAAAATAAATCCTGCCTTAGTTAATATCATGTTCACTTGATCGCATATTTCGATGAGCTCTTCAATGCTGTTGGCACCACTTAGAAAGTCATCTACGTAAAAGTCAGATAGGATTCTTGATGCTCCTATCGGTGAGCTGTCCTGCTCCAGTCTTGCTATTTCTTGCAAGGATCGTATCGCAAGGAACGATGCGGATGCAGTACCATATGTCACGGTGGCTAATTCAAAAGTTCGCACTTCCTCTGTGTCGTTGCTTCGCCATAAAATTCTTTGTAATCTCCGTTGAGATTTATCAACCCAGATTTGATGATACATCTTCGTCACGTCTCCTGAAATAACGTATTTCCACATGCGAAATTTGATTAAAATAGAGAATAAATCTGGTTGCAATGTTAGTCCTATCATGAGGACATCATTTAGCGATACCCCGGTGTCTGTCTTGCATGACGCGTCAAAAACTACACGAGTCTTAGTGGTGGTACTAGTACTCTTGATGACCTCATGATGTGGCATGTAATATGATACAGCTGTTTCTTGTGAATTCGCCTTGATAGGATTCATATGGCCAAGGTCGATGTATTCCTGCATGAACTGTGTGTATGCTGCCTTTAATTCAGGATGACGACTCAGTCTGCCTTCCAAAGCGTGAAAGCGTTTCAAAGCGATATCATAAGAATTTCCTAGTGTTTGCAGTTCATTTTCCCTGATGGGCAACTTTACAACGAAACGACCATCCTCAGCCCGGTAATGATTTTCCTTGTAATGAGTTTCGCATTGTCTTTCCTCGGCCGTGAGCACTGGCGTCGTAGAGATTTGCTCAGTCTGCCAAAATCTCTCGATGGCTCGTTCGAGATTGAGATGATTCGTTGTTACATTGCAATGTACTGTTTCTATGGGCGTAGTGATGCCCGGATATCTTCCACTTAGAACCCATCCAAAAAGGGTTTTCTGAAGTAACGGATGCTCTGCTGTTTCCTTGATTTGTCCAACGCACAGAGTGCTCCAGAATATTTCTGCACCTAAGAGTACTTCAATATCTGTTGATTGATTAAAATTTGGATCTGCGATGGGCAAATTTGGTGGTATCTTGAAAATGCTCTTGTCTATGGTGACATTAGGTAATCGTTCTGTGATTTTCTTCAAGACTAAACAATTGATGATAATGTTGTATGAATAATATCTTGAACTTAATTGCACTTGTACCATTTTCTTGACTTGACTGTAAGCATGATTAACTCCGACTATAGAGACATCGATCGGTCTCACTGTGAGGCCTAAACGTTGCACCAAATCTTCAGTTATAAAATTTGACTGCAAACCGGAATCAAGCAGAATGCGACATGCTTGTTTGTTTCCTTGATTATCGTGGGCGTTGACAACTGCCGTTGATAAGAAAACTTGCGAACATACGTTTAACATAGTTGCGTGTGCTACATTAGACGTGGATGAATTGCCTGTTGGCTCTGTGATCTGATTTGAGGAATTCGAGACCTTTGTTTCGGCTGTGTTACCAGGAATGTGAAGTAGAGAATTGTGCCGTTTTCCGCATGTTTTGCAACTGCCAGCCTTGCAATCCTTGGCTATATGTGATGAGACTTTCAAACAATTCCAGCATAATTTTGCCTCCTTTATGAAGTTTAGACGTTCCTCTGGTAAAAGCTCTAAAAACTGCTTGCATGAATATATCTGGTGATTTTCCTTGCATTTTTGACATGCTGCCGCCTTGGTGCTAACGAGAGCCGAAACCTTTTCTTGTCCAGCCTTTGCTTGCGCCTGCACCGAAGAACCTTTTCTATTGACAGCTTCTAACGTATGACATCGATGCTCTAAGAATTCCATTAAACGCTGCAGCGTGGGAATGTCATTTCCTGCGATAGTGTCTTCCCACTCTTTATTGGTATTGTGATCCAATTTACCTGTTACTAGATATATGATAGGGTCGTCCCATGAATCAATTGGGCGGCCCATTGCCTTCAAGGCCCTGGTGTGCTTGAGAACTTCATCGACTAACTGGCGAAGCGCTGCAAAATTCTCCTTAGAAATCGTTGGCAGCTCAAATAGTGCCCTGAGATGTTTTTGAATGATGAGTCGCTTGTTGTCGTATCGCTTTATTAACATTTGCCAGGCTTGCTCATAATTGTCAGCCGACATCTCGAGTGACTGAATTAATTCAGCAGCCTTTCCTTTAAGCGCTGCCTTTAAATAATGAAATTTTTGAATTTCAGTGATTGAACGATCTCTGTGAATAAGTGACTGAAACGTGTCATGGAACGGATACCATTCCTCGTAGGATCCTGAAAAAGATGGTAAATCAATTTTTAGTAATTTCAGATTGCCTGTTAATGCTCGATTACGATTGGTGCTCGTGGAACGCGCTTCAGCGCCCGAAGTGGCCGTTGCGCCACGAGAAATAATTAAATCCTGAAACCTTGACTTAATGTCATAATATGTCTCTTCGAAGTCGCTTTTTTCGGCTTCGTGTGTCGCGATTGTGTCCGCCGAATCTAGCAACTCTTCGATTTCCGACTGAATCTCGTCGAATTGTGACCACGTGACTTCAATTTTGGCTTTACGCTCTAATAATTGTGCTACATTGAGCTCGTTGACAACATTAGAACTGAGTGTATTATGCGCTCTTTTACACAACGCCTTTAGTTGGCCTCTACGTATCCTTAACCTCTTTAACCTATCCTCCATGACTCGACAGATATTATGAAATGCAAAGGAAATAAGTACCGTAGATAAGATGGGCAAAGATTTGGGACTTACCGACTTACCGACACTTACGACATCTATGAATGAGATCCTCCACTGTCACGCGTCCTTTTGACTACTGCTTTGTTTGAAAGTAACGGTCGCTGTGACCTTCAAGAACTGCTTGTTCCTTTACTGTTTCTCGAATATGCCTTGTTAGTTAGCGACTCGATTCCACTAACCTCAGACTAGCTTGTCTTGTTTCGTACAAGCTCACTTGCTGCTTGAAATGACTTGTTACCCTTGTGCTCGATTGCGTGCCACAAAGCGTTCGTTGTACGTTTCTTAATATTGTTCGCTCGAATGTGCCTTGTTGGTCAGCGATTCCGTTCCACTAACCTTAGACTAGCTTGTCTTGTTTCGTACAAGCTCGCTTGTATTGCTCGGATCCCTGTATCCGGCTCGAAGGACCATGAATATGCGCGAGGATTAAAATAATTTCACAACTCGAGTCGTTCTTTCTCCTGTAGAACAGAACTGCTTTATTTAAAATATGATGATAGCTGCTTTGCTCGCAGCGTCTTACAAAATCGACCGACGTGTTGAATCGGCCATCTTACACATACAAAACTGAAACTATAATGAGAACGCGTACTAACGGCTACAGTAAAATTAGAGTAGGGAGGAGGCCTCGTCAGTGCTGCCAACCAAAAATACCTCCTAGCGTAAAACACCATTCCTATGAGGCGAATTATATTATTTCAAACCAAACAGCAACAAAGTTGAATGTATTGTGTGCTTAACACATCTTTCAATTGCTAATAAAGGTTCAGCAGATTTGGATGCTCATATACAAAGTACAAAGCATCAAAGAAACCTGAAAAATATGGTCCAATGTCAGCAGATGGATAATTTTGTTGAAAAAGTCAAGTTTACAAGTATAAGTGTGTATGTGTTTGTAGTGTACGCAGGTGTGTATGTCGACGAGACGGCAGACAGACGGGACGAATACAATGAAAACGAAAGACGCGGACAGAAAAACAGCAAATATTAATTACGGCGCGAGTACTATGAAAAACGCGAGGGAATCTCCGAATCCCAAGACGGACGCGAGGCGCGGTCGGCGGTATAACGATACAAATACTCGTACGCGAAGTATACGCCAGCGGCGGATGACGGTCGCGGCGCGGATAACGCGGTGGGCGTTCCCTCTACGCAATGAGGGACGCTTCGCAGAATGTAAGGCACGGATACACTAACGCCCGACTGCCAAGAACGCTTGGCGGAGGCGAAGAACACTTCACCCCCTTTTCTCGTCGGTGCGTTAGGTCTAGGATACTGGCGTACGGCTGTCGAGAACGCTCGACGGAGGCAAAGAACGCTTTACCCCCTTTTCGCGTCGTAAGGCCAGCGGATCAGGAATTTTGGTGATCGACTGTCAAGAACGCTTGACAGAGACCAAGAACACTTGACCCCCTTTGCGCGTTGGAGCTAGGATCGGAGCGGAATTCGTACTGGAGCGGCGGTTAGGATAGAAGAGGCCTCCCGGAGCAATAATTACGCGTTTTATACTAATTATTGCTCCCGCTCGTATTATTATGGTCTTTTCCGTTATCACTCGGCGGTCGGCAATTCCTGCGGAGGGGATTGTCGATCGGCGATGTTCGGTCGCGTTCGGTCGGAGCGGCGGATAGCGCGAAGCGCAGATCGTTCGGCGATCTTCGGACGCGTTCGGTCGGAGCGGCGGTTACTACTGTCGTCGGCGGAAATTTCTAATATCGCGAGATATAACGATATCTGGTAACGCTCTTGGCGACTGGTATCGTCGGAACGATGCATTGCAGGGTGCATCGTTACAAATTAAAAAAAAATTTTAAAATTTTAAAATAAAAAAAATGGGATCTTTGAATACCTACAACCTCCTCGTGGTGGATCCCGGAAACTACATTTCAACAGTATATTTGTAGGCTAATAATAGGTACATTAAAACATTTGAAAAACATTTATAAAAATACCATTTATTGAAATTCTAGCCTATATTCTTTCTCTGTATAAACGAAATTGTTATCCATTTCAATTTTTGGCTGATTGCTGATGTGATTATATATAGGCTTCTGATCTGAGACTTTAAGAACTTATTTAAAACAAATTTAAAGCGAAAACCTGAGTGACAAGATTGGAGCAAATATGATTAATTTTTGAACAATTGTCCGCACTAATGGATTCGCCATTTTGAATTTGGAAAATCTGAAATCAAATTCGTAATTAGCGACCACAAAGTAGTAGGATATGCAATTTTATAGCAAATAAAAATTGTTTCGTAATTTTGGCTACTTTTTGAGGATCCTGGCCCACCGTGCAACGTCGGCATCTGCAATGTTCACCATGCACTCGGCACATACCGCTAGCGCTCCGCCTGTCGAATAGTAGCACTGAATCTGACAATGCTTCACGCGAAAAACACCCAATGCCGATTTGCGCGTCTGGTATAAGTTTTCGCATACGATCGGTATCGTTCTCCAGATCGCTAACGTATCTCGTATCGTTCGATAACACACTCTCGTCGGAAGACTCAACGTCCATAACGTCTTCGAAATTCACATCTTCCAACGCTTCATCCACGATATTTCCGACATCATCGGGATCCATAACTTGGATATCGTCGATCACTATATGTCCAACATATATTCTCGCATCTTCGCACGATCGATTCGCGACACTTAATGAGACGCAACGCGCTTCCGACTCGTTATATATTTCGTTTGCAGCTTCTTTATCTCTTTGTCCTGTCCTCTCAGTACGCGTCTTCTTAGAAATGCATCTCGAAAGAAAGCGCGTATTAATTTGATACTTGTTTTCGCGCGATTTCGTTGAAAGGGTTCCGGCGCTCCCACTTGTCGCGACGTGTCGCCGGTCTTCCTAGAAAAATATCGTTATCGCGAAAGATAGCGTGTATTAATTTAATACTCAATGAAGAAGAATTTTTCAGGGGTGGGGGGGTGGCTTTTGAACATGCTCGCGCTGGACCGATGATCTCATCGCGCATGCGCAAAACACTACATCGATGTCACGTGACCAATGCCACGTGATCACTGCGGGGGAGGCTTGACTTATTTGATGATCTCATCGCCCGATGATGTCATCGCCTGCATTGGCTGCATCGCCTCGAAAGGGTGGCGGCAGCTTTTGAAATTTTATACCCAAACAATAACATCTCGGCGGCGCGATAAGGCGGTTAGGCCGGCGCGGCGGCGGCGCGATAAGGCGGTTAGGCTGGAGTCACATTGAGCGGTAATTACAGCGGAACGGAACAGCGAGACCAATCACAATCGCAGAAAGTAAAGCAGCGGAATGATTGTAGAGTTCTGATTGGTTTCACTATTCCGTTCCGCTGTAATTACCGCTCAATGTGACTCCAGCCTTAGGCCGGCCGGCGCGATAAGGCGCCTCGGCTCCCCCCTCCCCTCCCTCGTACCTTCCCCGCGCCCCGCACCCCCCTCGGAGCCCCATGGGTCTGAACCCGCCTAGTCTATCTACTCAATTTTACACCGTTATTGGTATTTAAAAAATGTTTAAGAAATTTCTCTAGCAATGCTTATCGGCAGAACTTTTAGAAAACAAATAAATTGAAGATTTCAAGGACTCTTTTATATAATAATAATTAATACGTTAAATAGGGCGAATAAGAGTCAAATTACAATTAAAAATCTAAATCTGATAATTTATATATATTCTAATATTATATATTGCGAAGAATATCACGTAATTTTTGGCGTTTCGTCCTGGCTTCCACTACTGGACTCATCAGTAAGGCATTGTAGTGGAAGCCTACCTTAGACGCCTGTGTTTCAAGACCGAAAATCTTTTGGCGCACAAATATTTAGAATGGGGGACATTTCGGATTATTATAGTTGCGTTGCAAGACCGAAATCTTTCGGCGCGCAATAATTAGGGAGAGGGAACATTTCAGATTATTAGAGTTGCGTTGCAAAACCGACAATTGTTCGGCGCGCAATTTGGGGGACTACATATATTAATAGAACGTTATTTCCTACTTTGGATAAATATTGCAAAGAATATCACTACGTCGACTCAAAGCAAGATGACAAAAGCATCTATGTCATTTTCAAGTTAAGGTTAGTAATAATTACTGTAGATAACTGAGTAAAAGTAAATGCGCAAGAATGTTTGCGTGCGTGCGTGCGTGCGTGTGTGTGTGTGTGTGTGTGTGTGTGTGTGTGTGTGTGTGTGTGTGTGAGAGAGAGAGAGAGAGAGAGAGAGAGAGAGAGAGAGAGAGAGAGAGAAATTAAATGTAGACTGTAAGCGTGTGTACTGTTGAGCCTGACAGACCCTGTAAGTACCCGCATGCATCGATGAGCGTCGCCGTCCCTGGTTACCTTCCGTATTCGACTTGTGATACGCTAACTATTTCTCTTTATAATTCAAAAATTAAGCTTCGGACGAATTTTTGCCAAAAGAAAAATCGTCTCAGAATACCGCCAGCAATACGTCCCTTTATGGACAAAAGGTTATTCTGAATCACCCTGTATACCGTTTTCAGGCCATCTTCCAATTTTATAGCCAGAACTATTGATGTATTAAGTTTTAACGACAGAACTCTTTAAATTTTTGTACTTTACATCTTATACGTTCGAAATCCGGTGAGATGCTGGATGGTAAGGCGGGAAGTTGGCATCTTATTTTTCAAAACGTTTTTTCTGGATGTAATTTGTTAAAATTATTGATGAAACCGGTATAGAACAGTAGAACCATCGCGGATGCGAGCAGAACTGGTGTCATTTCATGTGATGCTGATATATGATATGTTAGCTTCAAGTATAAGAAAAGCTTATACTAATAGTAAGTGAATATTCGCATTTATACTAACCCAAGAACAGTTCCGCAAATTAGCACATTGAAGATTCTCATACAAAATCCATAATAAAGTATTAAAAGTTCATAAACGATTTCAAAAGTGTAATTTTCGATCTTGAGTGAAATAA